CCCCCGCCAGTGCACAAATTTTTGTGCCCCGGGGCTCTAGTATATATATAAAAGGCTAAGTGACCAACCGTCTGTCCAACCAACCAGCCGGCACATATGATGTGCACTGGTAATTTAAAAATAAACGTTGACTTGCACATGTGCGATAGATATAAAGCTCTCGCTGACACCAATCACACACGATGCCAGAAAGTATCTGAAGACCAACTATTGGCACAATGTGTCCTTGAAGCTGAAATTAATTAATTTTCTTTCAGTTGCATGAATCCATGCACCGGGTCACTAGTTTCTGGATAGTCATGCTGTATAAACCTTAATCTTTCCATCTGTAAATCTGCCTTGTGTCTCTTTTATCTTTAAACTTACTTTCCCTCCTTTGTTCCCTATTTCCATTAATGAAAAAATTATTCTTGTATTTGTACTTAAAATCTTAGTTCCTGCCACATTTATTTTGTTACCCAACTCTGTAAATTGCCCCCATAATATCCCTCAGAATGTTGGTAAAATATATGGGTTCATGTCATTTGGTATGTTTGCGTTGTTGTGTAATCATCACTGCCACCCAGCTCTAGAGTTTTTTATCATCCCCAACTGATCTCTGTACCTGTTAAACAACTTTCCATTCTCCCCTCCTCCAGCACCTGAAAACCACTTGTAGTTTGTTTTTAATCTTTTAAATCATTTTATAGTTAATGTATATGAAAAACTTACAGAGATCTATCTGGTTAATATTACTAGGAACCTATATACTCATAAGATGTCTCCCCCAAAATGTATATACATTTGAACAGCTGATAACTCACTTAATTTTCACTCCTTTTCAGGAACTAATGGGTGAAGCCAGACTAAGCTTTGAACAAGGAAAATTTATCCTAAAGTGCCACTAGATTTTTTAAAAATGGATATACACAAAAGATAAAATTTACGGTACAAAACTGGCAACAGTTGACGGATTGAAGGCACACATACCCAATGAAATTATCGATGTTTGCAGTTCCATTGCTTTGCGTTATCAGCAGTGCTTGGACCAGAATGGTTATCAGTTTAAAAACAGGCATTGACAAAAAAATTGTTCATTTCTGTAGATTCTTTTAAATTTTGAAAATGAACTGTATGTTAATAAACACTGAGTTTATAGTCATTCAAAGTGCATATACATTTTTTGGTGGGGACACCCTGTATATTTAGATATGGGTTGCTGATGGTAGCATAAGAATATTGAACAATATTGTAGGTTGTCAGTGAGTTATTCTAGATACCTGGTGTGCTTTAAAGAAGATTAAGACATATAATTGGTGTGAGAGAGGAAAGGGACATCAGCTGTCCTGCGACAAATTTAGACAGGGTAGGTTAATGTAGAGGGAAGTTATAGATTGCAATGCAATTAATAAGTTTATTTTTTTAGGCAATAGTTTAGATTTTTTTTAAAAAAGTATTACCATTTGGTGTTAATCTGTAATTTTATAAAATGTACTAGAGGCCTGTTGCACGAAGAGATTCGTGCAATAGGCCTTCCTTTCCCCTGGCTGCTGGTACCATTTTGCCTCTGGCACCCGGGGCCCAGGCCTTCGCTCTGGCCAAGTTCTGGCCCGGAGCCGGCCCCGGAAACATCAGCCCTCGTTGCTCCGCGGCCCCGGAAACGTCAGGCCTCGCTGCTCCCACTGGCCCTGGGCCGTTAGGCTTTGCTCCACAGCTTGGAGCCTACATATGCAAATTAACTGCCATCTTTGTTGGTGGTTAATTTGCATATCATGCTGATTAGCCAATGGGAGGCGTAGCAAAGGTACGGTCAATTACCATGTTTATTATTATGTATAGATCTATTTAAGAGGTCTGATTTAGGGATGATAAAGGGGACTTTTCGAAAAACATTTCTTGTAAAGTAAGATTTTTAAAAATAAAAATGATGTGTATCAAGCAACATATTATAGAATTATTTAATGCATAAATACAATGATTTAAGTCTTTCTTCCCTAAGGAAATAATTTTTAAAAAATATCTTCGGCCTCTCTTCTCCTCCCGCCTCCTCTCCTCTTTCATCTCCTCTCCTCTCCTCTCCTCTCCTCTCCTCTCCTCTCCCCTCCCCTCCCCTCCCGGCCCCTCCAGGCCCTTCGGGGCCCCTTGCGGGGGCCCTATCCGGCCTCCCTGCCCCTCCCCTGCCCACTCCTTTCTTTTTGTTACAGTGCCCTGTTTTGGAGTTCTGGTAGTTTGGAAAATGTTCACTGGTGTTTTGAAAATCTTTTCTTAATTCTTCCTCTCTTAAAAAAAATCTTGCTGTTCTGTTCTTTAAATCACACACACCATGTGTATTAGTTGATTTAAAAATTTATAGTATTTTTATATAATAAAAATGCACTTTTTTTGCTTTTAAAATAGAAACATATTCACATGGCTCAAAAATTAAAACAACTTAAAAGATGAACATTGACAAACTCCTATCCCCCCCCCCCCCAAATCCTCTAAGGTAACCACTTTTGTTTCTTTTATATCATTTCATTGTTTCTTTACACACATGTGAATATATTTCCCCCATTCGTAGACTGTCGGCATATTGTTTACACTATTCTACATTTGTAATTTCTTAATATATCCTATCAGTCTTAAAAATGTATTTCCTCTAATGTCTATTAATATTACATTGGTTGTAAAAATTGAAAAATTTAGAAATAATTTTCTAGTTTAGCATTAGTTTTGATTAGTGGCATGTAGAATATTTAACATACTTTAATAATTATTAGTTAAAATTATTATTTTAAATATATCAATTTCAGGAAACCTAATAGATGTAATTCCTGTTTGCCTCATATAGATAATAAGGTTTTTTAAAAG